GGAAACAGGTTCTGAGGTCAAAGAGCTTGTGCAGGGGACACAGCTAGCAAGTAACAGTGTTCTGGGTGAGAAATCTGTGCTATTTTCTTAATTCTACACTCCCCAAAGAATTCTGAAGAAGGGCACAGAGGCAAGGAGTGACACAGTGCACAGATGAGAGTGGGACTTGAAGGCTAGCAGGTATGTAAACACTTACTCCAAAACATCCACATTCAGTGACACATTCATAAATAAGTTGAGTCTACTGTATGCCAGAGACTGTGCTGTGTTCAAATACTATTTCAACCAGGCACGGTGGCTCACGCCTGTAATCCCAGCACTCTGGGAGGCCAAGGCAGGCAGATCACCTGAGGTCAGGAGTTTGAGACCAGTCTGGCTGACATGGTGAAACCCCATCTCTACTGAGAATACAACAACAACAGCAATGCGCCAGGTGTGGTGGCAGACGCCTTTAGTCCCAGCTACTTGGGAGACAGAGGCAGGAGAATTGCTGGAACCTGGGAGCCAGAGGTGCAGTGAGCCGATATCGCACCACTGCACTCCAGCCTGGGCAACAGAGCAAGACTACAACAACAACAACAACAACAAAATATTATTTCAGTTCATCCTCCCATAGTATATGATAAGGTGGGCATTATTTTGCTTATTGTTCCAGTGGAAAAATTGAGCCCTAGAGAGGTTTGTCCAACTTTATATTGTAGTAAGTGTTAGTGCTGGGTTTGAACTTGAGTCTCCAGACAAGGGGGCTGGAGCCCATTCATTAAGCCACAGCTGCCTCACTATGCAATTTCATGAATCAATCAAAATTTCTCCACTGCTAATATTTGTGAGCTCCATAGAGGCCCCAGTATAACATCATAAATGTGTTATTCTTGTTTCTTTGTGCATGTTCTTACACCTGTGTCCTGGGGGTATGTCATTTGTCTCTTTTCCTTTAGGCTGGGTACCTCTGGAGCACAGGACTCTGTCCCTGCTAAAGATCTTCCTTCCTGTATATTCATCCCCAGTGTCCATGAAGGGCTCCAACAAAGGAGCCACTGGGCCGGAGGACCAACTGCCCAACTGAAAAGTTGATCATTGACCACCCAGCGGAAGAGCTGTAGAGTGAGGAAAGACTTCAGCTTCTTACAGCACTTACAACCAGAATGGGAGTCTGTACTCATTTTCTGTTCAGTCCTGCCTGCCTCCACCTCCCCTAGAACTTCAAGGAAACCACATCTTTGCTTGCTGGACTGTAAAATGGAGCCGAAGGTCCTCGTTGGTATAATCAATCAATACCAGGCATCTCAGAGTCTTTGGGGAAGATACCACACCCAGACCTGGCTCATGACAGCCAATGAACACTTTGTTGTCTGTGTTTTGGATTAAGAAAGTGAGTTCTGCATGTTGCTTACCATCACAAGGAGCAGTGAACTGAATTGGTGCCATTGTAAGCTTGATTGTTGTTGCATAGATAAAAGCCTCATTAAGTCCCTCAGGAGGAGACAAGAATTTTATTTTGAGGAAAGAAGAACAAGAAGCGCTTCTTGCTTGTTGTCATTACAGCAACAAAACATTAAATGGAGGAAATAATTAAATAACTGCACTTTTTTTTTTCGTTACCCAAACCTCGTCAAGAGGCTGGGTGAGTTTTTAATTAGTGCTGCATTTTCAATAAATCCGTATCTGTATGTGGTGCCGATTCTTTCCTGGATAAGGGAAAGATAATAATGAGAATCCTATTTTTCAGTCCCACACTAAAGGGATGCCTGGTATATTTAATCATGCTGTAGAAATCCTGGCAGCTTTCTCTGAGCCCAGCCTCTGCTCTAATTACATTTCTAGATTTTAGTAAATTGAAAGGGAAAATGTAGGAACAAAATAATTAAAACCGAAGAGGAAGTGCATATTAAAAAGGAGAAGCTGTTTAAAATTCTTCCACACAGTGCTTCCAAGGACATCTACAATCGTTTAATCAGTTCCACACCAAATCAAAGTCCTTTGTACAGAGTCTGATAGGATCACATCTCAGGTGGGAGGCATGGTCCCCACAGTATAATAGGAGCTTCGTTGCACCAGGCTACAGATGGGATAAGACCTCTCATATCCTTCCAGATCACTGGGGATTCAGGCCCAGCTTGGACAAGCTGTTGGCACAGACTCACTTTCCCCAAGGAGTCCCCTTCCAGGTCCTGGATAGAGTCTGGCGAAGCTGTTACGATTAGCTCCAAATGTGAGGGAACTACAGTAGGTTGTCCATGAATCCAGTTTCCTTTTCCTGCACCCTGTTCCCCACTTCCATGCTCCTTCCTGCAAAGAGTACCCCTTCTCTTTTTTCTCTGCTTTTGTGTGAACTCTGAAGTCAAGAGAATAGGTAATTCAGCAACCTCAGTGACACCAGGAACCAGTTACTTGTTACTGGTTACTGGATTATTTCTAGGGCATTCTGAATTTTCACAGGGACCAAAAACCTTGCTGGCTTCAGCTAAAGGAATCATGTTTGTTTTTAACAATGATAAGTTAAATCTCTCTCTCTTTTTTTTTTTTTTGAGACAGTCTTGCTATGTCATCCAGGCTGGAGTGCAGTGGCATGATCTTCGCTTACTGCAACCTCTGCCTCCCAGGTTCAAGTGATTCTCCTATCTCAGCCTCCTGAGTAGCTGGGATTACAGGTGTGCGCCACGATGCCGGGCTAATTTTCGTATTTTTAGTAGAGACGGGGTTTCACCATGTTGGCCAGGCTGGTCTCGAACTCCTGACCTCAAGTGATTCGCCCGCCTTGGCCTCCCAAAGTGCTGTCACCGCACCTGACTGATAAGTGAAATCTAACTGGAAAGTTTCAAGCATCTGCCTAATAGGTGACACAGGCTCTTTTTGTTTTGCAGTGGGGCAGGTACAGTCACTACATCATTGTAGAATTTAGGATCTACATTTCTTGATAATTCTGACTGAAAAATCAGTTGTATAAACTCTAGGAGTCTGGAATGTTTTGTCCGTGATTCCTAGGAGATTTTAAACTGTGAGATTGTACGGCTTGCTTCTGTATTTGAAAGTGGAAGACAGCCTGGCACTGTCAGGGGCTTTTTTTTTTTTTTCCCAAACCCCTGGGGTTTTGCTCATGGGCTCCCAGACTTCCCGACTGAACAGACTCACCAGCCACCTGGCACCAGAACGCATGTGGCAGGAGACAGTGAGCACTGTCTCCTAGAGACAGTCACATAGGCCTGGGAGACAGCAGGGCTCCCGGAAGCTGTTCCCAAAGCAGGGCCCACACTGTCACCTCCCAATCTACAGGTTCATTGGGTTGCTCTCGTATCCAATGCTGTGTGTGTGTGTGTGTGTGTGTGTGTGTGTGTAATACCATTCCAGCAAGAAAGAGGGAAAATGACCACTCTGGATTATTTGGCTTCATTAAGAATATTAAAAACTTTTTCTTTTTTTTTCTTTTTCTTTTCTTTTTTTTTTTTACAGACAGGATATCACTTTGTTGCTCAGGCTGGAGCACAGTGGCATGATCATGGCTTACTGCAGTCTTGAACTCCTAGGCTCAACTGATGTGATACTTCTACCCAAGCCTCCCAAAGTACTGGGATTACAGACACAACGTAGTAATAATTTTTTTTTAAGACAAGGTATTACTCTGTCGCCCACTTCGGAGTGCAGTGGCACAATCAGCTCACTGTAACCTTAAAGTCCTGGGCTTGAGGGATCCTCCTGCCTCAGCCTCCTGAGTAGCTGCGACTACAGGCAGGTACCACCACACTTGCCTAATTTTTTTTGTAGAACAGAATCTTGCTTTGTTGCCCGGGCTGGTTTCCAACTCCTGGGCTCAAGGGATCCTCCCACCTCAGCCTCCCAAAGTGTTGGGATTACAGGTGTGAGCCAGTGTGCCCAGCTCAAGAATAATTTTTTAAAAGTCTGAGCTAAAAGAATCATAACAACTAATACACAACACTAACATTATTACTGTAACACCGAGACAACTTTTTTTCTCCAAGGGCCAAGGTGATCCGAGGCCTTTTCTTTCACTCAACTCAGGAATCACTTATGGCCCATTGGGGCTAAAATGTGAAGCCAACAGGGAACTCAGGTGTCCAAGGCAACAAATTGTTACTGAATTAGCTTCCTTTTATTGATTGATTGATTGAGACGGAGTCTCGCTCTGTCGCCCAGGCTGGAGTGCAGTGGTGTGATCTTGGCTCACTCCAAGCTCAGCCTCCTGGGTTCATGCCATTCTCCTGCCTCAGCCTCCTGAGTAGCTGGGACTACAGGCGCCCACCACCATGCCCAGCTAATTTTTTGTGTTTTTAGTAGAGACAGGGTTTCACCGTGTTAGCCAAGATGGTCTCAATCTCCTGACCTCGTGATCCGCCCCCTTGGCCTCCCAAAGTGCTGGGATTACAGGCGTGAGCCACTGCGCCCGGCCACGCCTGGCTAATTTTTATATTTTTAGTAGAGATGGGGTTTTGCCATGTTGGCCAGGCTGGTCTCGAACTCTTGACCTCAGGTGATCCACCCACCTCGGCCTCCCAAAGTGCTGGGATTACAGGCGTGAGCCACCATGCCTGGCCAGCTTCCTTTTAGTTAGGTCACCTATATCGCCTACCTTCCCCTGAAAGGATAGTCCTTGTTTTTGTTTCTAAGTGCTAAATTTTGAAAGTTACCTAAAAGGGTCTCTAGCATCATCATAAAGTCCAAAAAATATTTTACCGACAGGGCTGGCTTTTAAAAAATGAGTTAATACATATAAGAGTGGTTGGTACTCCATAAACTGCTTGCAGACCTAAATCGCTGTTGTGAAATGCCTTTAATTGTTACGCTGCCCACTCCCACCCTTGGCTTGCTACGCCTCTATTTGGTCGTCGCACCTCATCGCGGCCTCCTACGCCCCGCACGCGACCCCCTCCAAGTTCCCGCCTCTTTTTACTCAGGCCCCTCCTTCCACTCATATCCCCGGGCCCTGGCTTGGCCCCGAGACGCATGCGCACTAGGGAAGGTAGGCGGAGTCTTAAGGACGAGGGAGGAGGAGCAGGGAAACCCAGGGAGGGGAGGGGAAGAGAAGGGAGTAAAGGGGAGGAGGCCGCGCGGGGTGGGGCCCGGCGGTACGCGCTGGCTGCGTCGACGTGCTGACGCCATGACGCCCCGGCCGGTGTGTGTCGGTGTGTGTGTGTGTGAGTGTGCGCGCTCCGAGTGTGTGTGTATTTGTGTATCGGCGGTCCCGCAGGTCCCGGATGTTGCGGACAGTATGAGGCGAGCGCAGGGGGACGGGGACCAGCAGCTGTCGCCGCCGCTCTCAGGTGAGTGGGGGGAGGAGAGTCGAGGGAGGGGGTTGTCCTGTCGGAGTGGGGGGGCACCTCCCTGAAGAGGTGACTGACCCCCACTGCCCCCCCACCCCCCGCCACACACATATACTCTCCTCAGTCCCATTTCCTACACCCGGATTACGTGGCCTGCGAATGCCAAAGCCGAATCACCCGTCCCTTCTCCCTATCTCAAGCATTCAGGAGACACAAACGCGCCCCCTGCCTTCAGCCCCCCCCCATCATTTCCCAGCCCCATCCCCCTTGCCAAATAGTGAGCTGTCGCCTGCGGCGAGATGGGTGACTGCGCATGCGCGAGTGTGAACGAGCTCGGGGTGCTTCTTAGCTGCCCCCGGGGCGCATGCGCATCGTGGTGTTGCAGGGACCTGCGGGATAAAGAGCCGGTGGAGCACGAGTCCGCCTTCTTCCCAGGCTGTGGGCTAGACTTGCTGCCAGATAATGAGCCTGTTGCTCCTGCCCAAAAGGGAGAATTTAAATTATGTGAAAGACTTACGGACAAAGCACTATTCTCATGTGGTGTTGCCCTAGAGACTCCCAGGCTACAAACGCCTCCCAGAGCCAGCGTGTCCCACACTGACCCTTCTTTTGAAACTGTCACTGCGTCTTCTAGTTGTAGGATTACTTTTCCATTCCTATACTCCATCGTCGTGCTTGTACCTTTTAGTACCAGTTTACCCTAAATTTAGGAGTAGGTGCTCCATTCCATCACTTGTCCTGGCAGGGGATTTTGGAAGCTTTGCTAAAGAAGACTAAGGGTCATAAAAGAAACTAAGTGAGGCATTTCATTTTAGTAAAATTCTTGATTCGCAGAACTAGATAAGACAGATAAAGGGCACACTCAGTATAAAGCTTAGGGTCCTAACTATAAATCAAGACATCAAGAATCTCACCTACCAGCCCTCTTACTTTGTGTGACCTATGTGCCTTTTTATTTGGTCAAAGATCTTCCTTAGCACTTTTAATTTTATCTGTACCTTATTGGTGCTCTGTGACGTGAAAACAAAGGCAATCTGAAACTGTTGGTGGACAATAACTTATTCAGTGGAGGTTTTAAGTAATGTGATGTTTCTTTCACGTTGGCAGATAACAAAAAGAAATGTAAATAACGAACTCTGAAGAACCATAGTATTTCAGTGATCTAGGACCTGGGTTTTCAGTTGGCGATTATACGTGACCCTGTTTTGGGATACTTTGCTGCTGCTTACCTCTGCCATCAAAACAGAGAGAAGATAAGCTCTTAATAGCAAAAGGTTTTCTAGATAACATTGAAATGAATAGCTAAATTGTTGTGGGGAGGGGAGTGCGAAAGGAGGGGCATTTTTTTGTGTTTTTCAGTTCTCCTTGCCAATCCTAGTCTCCTAGCTGGATAACTGGGAAGGGACCTTACTTTCAATTCTCTTTAGTTTGTATTCTTTGATGTTCTTCTCTTAAGGCTTTTTTGGCTGCCACTGTTAACTCCAAAACCGCTTGTTCTTGGGCCTTAAAGTATATGTATTTTTCACTTCCCCTTTTAACCCTGGCCCTTAAAGGGTTCAGCTGTCTTTTGTGCTGTTTCCTGTTGCCATGGTTACAGTTAGAACCAAGAGATGACACACAGGGAGCAGAGGAATTTGGGGTGCATGTATCTTTCTGGGAAAGAGCTGGAAACTCATCTTTTTTTCCTTTTTTCCTATTTTTCCTAAGGAGTAGAAGTTATTGTAAGACTACCCCACACTTAGGGTTGGGGCAGTTGGTATCCATTTGGTACTTTATTGATCTCTCCTTTTAGAGCTCTTCATAGTAGCTAATTTGGTATTTGGAGATGTTTACTGTTCCCTATGTCCATACTTAGGATAGGATAGGTTCTGGTAATATCTAGAAGTGAAACTATTGTAGTAAGTGTCCATCTTTCTTCTCAGTAGGTTTCAGCCATTAGGATGCTTCAATTTTTCTTTTTTCCTCTTTTTTTTTTTTTTTTGAGATGAAGTCTTGCTCTGTCACCCAGGCTGGAGTGCAGTGGTGTGATCTCGGCTCACTGCAACCTTTGCCTCCTGGGTTCAAGTGATTCTCCCGCCTCAGCCTCCCGAGTAGCTGGGATTACAGATGAGTGCCACCATGCCTGGCTAATTTTTGTACTTTTTGTAGAGACAATGTTTTGCCATGTTGGCCAAGCTGGTCTCAAACTCCTGACCTCAAGTGATCCACCCCCGCCTTGGCCTCCCAAAGTGCTGGGATTACAGGTGCGAGCCACCGCGCCGGGCCTGATTTTTTCTAGAAACATTTTGTCTAGTTGAATTCACCGAAGCCTCATTTAAAATTTTGATGGCATGCAATGCTTTTAGATTAAGATGAATGTTGTTAAATAATTCGTACTGGTGCAGAGCCTTTTTAAAAAAATCACTCTTTAAAATGGGTAACACATGTACATACATATGAAACAAAATTCAAAAGGTACACAGAGAGTGAAGTCTTTCTTTTCTTACCATCCTCTTTATCCATGAGTTCCCTTTCCCAAAGGCAGCAATCTTGTTTATTCATCCAGAGACAGTATATCCTTTTACAAGCATATACACCTATATATTCTTCACATTTTTTGTTTTTGTTTTACGCAATAAGACATTATGCTTATTCTGCACTTCGCTTTTCTCTGTTTATCTTGGTGATCATTCCATGTAGTAAATACAGTCCCTCTTCCTTTTTGAAAGATGGCAGATAATTCCATTGTGTAGATGTACCATCATTCAGCCAACACTTATTGGACATTTAGGTTGTTTCCAGTGATACAGTTAATTCCTTGTATGTACTTATTATGTGTACGTGAGTGTCTGTTGGTTTAAATTCCTAGTGGACGCGCTGGATCAATGGGTGTGCATTTGTAATATTGTTAGATATTACTAAATGCTTTCCACAGAGGTTGTATGAATTTATATTCCTGCCAGCAGTGTGAGTCTGCCTGTTTTCTCACCAACACTATTATCAAAATTTTTGATATTTGTGCCGTCTTTTATCTAAGATTTTAAAGTTCATTATGTAGTTTGTTAAGCGTCACTGCACTGAAGAGTTGTGTATAAATACCTCACTGTTTTGCAGATTGGGGAGGGGTCATGGAGGATTTTGTTTGAAAAATAATGTCATGAGAATAAAGTCATATGTCTGGATAATAGCAAATCCATGACAATGCTAGGAAGACATAAAAAACCTATATTCCAATGTCTTCCTTTAACTCCTAGATGCTAGTTTCTCTGTAATTCTGTAAGCCTGTAAATGATTTATGATCTCCTTTTGATAACTGTGACTTTAAATTGTTCATCCAAGTGAACTGCTATTATTCTGGTGAGAAATTGAAAAGCTAATCTAGTTAGTTGAGGTCTGCCTTCTTGGTACAGAATACTGGTACTAGCATTTTTTAAGTCTGCTGATTGCAGAATACTTCACTATGAGCTTCAAAGAAGTAGAAAAGAATTAAATATGTGCTTGAAGAGAGTTTACAGTCTTGTTGGAAAACCTAGAAGAAATGGATAACTTTCTGGACACATGTAGTCTACCAAGATTGAACCATGAAGAAATAGAAAACCTGAACTGATCAATAATAGTGAGTATCAAGATTGAAGCAGTAATAAAAAGTCTCCCGTCAAAGAAAAAGCCCAGGACCTGACAGCTTCATCGCTGAATTCTGCCAAACATTTAAAGAAGAACTAATACCAGTTCTACTCAAACTATTCTAAAAAGTTGAAGAGAAGGGAATACTTCTTAAACTCATTCTGAGGCCAGCCTTACCCTGATGCCAAAACCAAAGATGTAATCTTTTTATTTATTTATTAATTATTTATTATTATCTTTTTTGAGACCGAGTTTCGCTCTTGTTGCCCAGACTGGAGTACAGTGGCGCAATCTTGACTCACCGCAACCTCCGCCTCCCTGGTTCAAGCTATTCTCCTGCCTCAGACTTCTGAGTAGCTGGGATTACAGGCATGCAACACCATGCCTAGCTAACTTTGTATTTTTAGTAGAGACAGGATTTCTCCATGTTGGTCAGGCTGGTCTCAAACTCCCGACCTCAGATGGTCCGCCTACCTCAGCCTCCCAAAGTGCTGGGATTACAAGCCTGAGCCACCACGCCTGGCCCAAAGACATAATCTTGTTGTAAAGCCACACCTACTGAATATAGGAAATAATAAGAGAACAATTAGAAAACAAAACTGTAACACTAATACACTATGTTCCATGCTGAGAGGACCTTGTGAAGACATGATTAAAGGTTAAAGGAGAGTTCATTTGGGAGGCCTTCCTGGAGGAAGTACATTTGGAGCCCTTTTTTTTTTTTTCTGTAATGGTTTAAGTGAAAAATTTTAGACATACAGAAAAATGGAAAGAATAGCACAGTTAACATCTTTATATCCATCACTTAGATTCAACAGTTGTTCACATTTTGCTATATTTACTTTATGTATGTGCACATATATTTAAATATATACATTTTTGTATTGCACACATCATGACACTTTACCCTAAAATACTTTAGATGTATCTCCTTAAAGCTTATAATAACTTGTCACAGTTAAGGCAATTAACAGTAATTCTCTAATACCATCTAATATCCAATTCATGTTCAGATTTGCTCAGTTGTCTTGAAGATGACACTTCTTTTTTTCCTCCAAACATGTCTCTTTAGTCTCTTTAAATCGAGAACAGTTTAGAAGCCACATGATACTGTTTTTTTTTTTCCGAGATGAAGTTTCCCTGTCGCCTAGGCTGGAGTGCAGTGGCACGATCTTGGCTCACTGCAACCTTTGCCTCCAGGGTTCAAGCGATCCTCCTGCCTCAGCCTCCTGAGGAGCTGGGATTACAGGTGCCCACCACCACGTGGACCTGGCTAATTTTTGCATTTTTAGTAGACACGGGGTGTCACCAGGTTGGCCAGGCCAGTCTCAAACTCCTGAATTCAAGTGATCCGCCTGCCTCAGCCTCCCAAAGTGCTGAGATTACAAGTGTGAGCC